ATCGATACGCTTTTTTTCTATATCGCCCAGCCCTAATTGACACCCATTACAATGTTTTAGAAATATTATTCTAATTAAATGATGCAGTAAAACCTTTACTCACTTGCATATTATTTTTGCTGAGCTGCCTATTTTAGAATAATTCTGGATAAAATTGTTACTGCACTTTTCACTGTCTAGACTTCAGCTAAAATTCTGATCTTGATAGATCTTTATAGCTTAGCAGGTTTGAAAATCGTAACTTCTTGAAGTAAAGTTGAATATTAGTCAAATCATTAGCTGCGAATCATGAGGAAAAATCAAAATGTCTTGTTCTGAGAACTGGAACATATATTCCTAAATAAATATCTCAAGAGCATACATTGTGAGTCAAATATTTAATTTTACACCTCTATTGAAAGATCAACAATTTGGGAACAGTCTGACCTGTCAACGCAGCTTATGATAATAGAGTAGGAGAATAACTGCAACTGAGTTTAGATTATGTTTTAAATCACATTTTCCATCTAAAAGGCATGTAATTTATTTCATTTCTCATATGAAGTTTATGTTGATGTGTGGATAGACGCATGAAAAAAAAAAAAAGTAAACAGAAACAGTTTTGGGGCTTTTCCTGTTTGGTGAGCACCACCCTCACTAGATCGGTAGCAGAAGGAAAACCGATGGGGTTTTGAAACCATCCAGGTCTGGTCGAGATCAGATCGGATCCACTTTTCCACAGGGGGAATGAAACCGACATTGCATGAGGAGAGGTGTAAGTTTTGTATCTTTTTTCAGCAGCAATAAGCAGATTAGATGCTAGATGGATCTACCTAGGTCTGATGTGATGAGGTAAGGGCTGAGCCAAAAAAAAATAGATTTATAGATCAGTGTAACCATCTAACCCTGACCTACAGTATGGTCAGAATGCATGGATCATGATATATAAAATTATGCAAAAAAAAAAAATTTATTTAGTTGGTTTTAAAAACTGAAATAAGTTAATACCTTTCAAATGAATAATTTCTCTAATGGAATTTGTACTTTGAGTATATTATACCTATACACAAACCCAAAGTTTAACATCTTTAATCAGCTGCCTCCTTCTCCTGCTTGCTTTTAATAGAAAATTACTGCACACAAACTGTTTTCTTAATTTTTTTTGATAAATAAAAAGATGTCCGTGTTGTAGGGCTGCTTATCAGACTATCGTCTTTCAGCTAGAGGAGACAATAAGATTAAAGACCTAACTGCATCTATTTTTGTGTCGCTGCAGGCTATGCCAATGAAGTCGGGGAGGCCTTCCGTGCTCTGGTGCCGGTGAGCTTCGTTTGGGGCAGCTATGCTGTGTCCACTGCTTATGTCACCGCCGATGCGGTGGACAAAGGCAAGAAAGCAGCTGTGGTGAGATATCACTCTTTGTTAAGATTATTTGCATAATTAGTCGTTGTAATGATATTTTAATCATCGATGAATTGGCTAGAAAGCTCACTCTTTTTCCATTTCTATGTTAACGTATCTGGTCAAATAAGAGTAACCACTGCTTTTTGGGGTATTTACATGAACTGCGTAAAACTTCAGTTTAAAGGCAACCAAAAATATGTCTGTGCACTGTCTATGTTTACAATACATCTCAGAGTATGTCATTTCCGTTTGATTTTATGTAGAACACAAACATTTTTCATATTTTTATGTAGTAGCATGAAAAATAAAGGATCTAATGAGCCACCACATCATTAAAAGGAAATCCAGTTATGTTGTGTTCCCTCTCTGCTCCTCCATCTGTTCCTCTAGGTCCATGGGGACAATCCAGGGAGGACAACACGAGTGGCGGTAGCTGTGGTGGACACGTTTGTGTGGCAGGCCCTGGCTTCTGTCATCATCCCAGGCTTCACCATTAACCGGGTGTGCGCCGCTTCCCTGTATCTGCTGGGCAGAACCACCAAGTGGCCTCTGCCTGTACGCAAGTGGACCACAACCGCTATTGGCCTCTCCACCATCCCCTTCATCATCACTCCAATAGACAGGTTGGTATAAGCTGCGTTTGTGCCCTGCTTGTATCTAGGTAAAATGCAAATTAAATATATTTAAGTCTTAACTTTTAAATAGTTTTAACTGCTCTGGCTGGTAAAATGACATTAAGCTCACCGGCTTTGATTGCAGCTGATTTGCAAAACACACAAGATGCCAGCTACCCTGTAAAGGTTGAAGTTTTCTCAATCCTCCATAACTGTTGGGCCTCTTGATAATGATATATTAAAAAAAACCTTAAACTTTATT